TCCTTGAAAAAGAAACCAATGGGAAATGCAGAGTGAATTTGTTTTTTAAAGAGATGATTATTAAAACCTCTTACGTTAATGGATGGAATACTAAGTAGAGACCAGCTCTATAAGCTGCTTATATTATTATAAATCCCACTATAGCTCTCGCCTGTCTGTGTAACAAGAGACTCACACAATCAAGCATGGGTTTTCTGTGGTCCTAGACTGTGCTACAGAAGGAGTTGTGTGCATGGTCTACCTACACAATTTTGATGCCCAACAGTCAGGTTGGAGTCTTCCTGTTTCAGGTGTTTGTGAAGAATAATAGTCTGGGGCATTGCCGGGGGGAGGGCGGCAACTCTTAACTTGGAACTTTATATTGCTCATACCAGAAACACAATGACTGAGCCCACATGAATTAGATACAATTTACTAAAGTTTATTTAAGCTTATACAAATATACCAAAATAGCAAATGCTATAATGCATTTGGTTTAACTCCAATCCTCTTTTACAAATGAATAGGTGAAGGCTTTGGCGAGGTGAGGAGCTCACTCCTTTACCTGCAGGTACTCCATCATCTCTTGTTCTGCCTGCAGTTATCCCTGTCCCTCTTGGCCACTGGATGGACCCATGCAATGCCAGCACAGTAGAAAGATCCCCTGTGCTCCAATATATGGCTCTGCAAAATGCTCTCCTTGCCTCTGTGTAGTGACATCTTTGACTTCCATCCCTCTGCTCTGGGAAGTGTCTGGTCTGTTTGCATCCTGACACTCTGAGCAGTTCTTCTCAGCCATAGTGGATTTCGAGGGAAAAGAGCCATTTCCAGGCTGAACACGAAGGAGGAAGGTGCTTGCCCTGTGAGAGGTCACAGTGTAATGCTCGCAGATTCCTCCTTCCAGCTCTGAGAGATGGATTATTGTTATTTAAAAATGGGTAACCAGGGCCGGCCCGGTGTCGCACTGGAGAGTGCGCCGCTTGGGAGCGCAGCGGAGCTCCCACCAAGGGTTCGGATCCCATGTGGAGACCGGTTCCCGCTCACTGGCTGAGCGTGCGGGCGCAACACGGAGGGTTGCGATCCCGTTGCCGGTCCCCGGTACGGGCGCGACACCGAGGGTTGCGATCCCGTTACTGGTCAGTAAAAAAAAAGACAAAAAAAAAAGGAAAAAAAATAAATAAATAAAAATGGGTAACTGTAAATGAGGCTGCTGGACTATGGTTCCCTTCTTTGGCCTCTGCTTAGTCCGTAATGTAAATATGATTGGCAGTTTTGAGTCAAATCTCAAAAGAACAGAGAAAAACAGTCATTAAAGAAAACAACAGAAAATAGGCCTTTCTATGACTTCTATGATAAATGCTACTCAGTTTTAACCCTCTGGTTTTCTCTGAATATTGGATTTTTTCTGTGTCCTCAGCCAGATGTAACTGGCCCCATCTCTGGAGACCCTTAAGTGTATTCTGCATATCTCCTTCATGGCAGCTCCATTTGACCGTCCCTGAAGTAGAAAAATCTCCATGAGGGCAAGAACCATGTCCCCAAAGTTCCTAGTACAGTGACTGGCCCAGAGCAGGCACATGTCAGCTGTGGGGACAGGATGATTGTCAAGAGCTGCCAATAATCTAAAGTCCACAGAGGAGAATGTGGATGGCATCAGAACCCCTTCCCTTGACCTGTAAAAAGAAGAGAGGGCGTTTAATGCTTGGGATCTTGGGAGAGAGAGCATATGATATAGCAGTCAAGCTATGCAGGGTATAAGCAGTGTGTTCAGGATTCGCCTAGATCAAAATCTAGGATGTTTAAGGGAGAGAGAAGAGGAAATTTTAAGGCATATCTACTAATTGAGATAGATACAGTTGTTAAACTGTCTTTTAACCCAAACTGCAACATCCCAAAAGATACAGGAGAGGGACTGTCCTGCCTGTTTCTTGCAGCAACCTCATGCTCTGACCATTTGTGATCAAAGTCACAAGTCTGCTGTACCTGTCTTCCTGGCACATATTATGTGAGTGGGAAATAAACAAATTTCTACCATTCTCTCATTCAATCCTCCTGTGCCTCTGCCTGCCACCTTCTCATACTCACACCAGAGGAAAGGAAGAATCTCTAGTGCTAGGGGCTGCTTCTCTGCACTGAATCCCGCTGCTCAGGACAGAGCCAGGACAAACATATAAGCCCATTTTCTACCTTATATCTTCAAACACCATGAAAGAAAGGGAATCAAATAGTCTCCCTGTGGGCAATTTACAAGGTAAGAGCCACAGGATCCAGCCTTGCAGAGAATTTACTTCCAAGTAAATTGATACCAGAGTTATTTATTGGAGTGTTATTCCTGCCAACAACTTAATACCAAAGCCAGCATTTGAACATCCAATGAAAAATTTGTGCTTGAAAATGTGAATTAAATAGCTCTTGCAGGCTGCTTCTTGGCAGTTTGGATTTTGCCTGGCAAATTAATTCAGTGTGTAAGTCTCAAATTTTCTCAGTTCTCATGAGGTGCTTAGATTGTGTGGCCGCTCCTTGTCCAAAATGAACGTGATACAATATGCAGGCCCAGAGACAAACACGCTGCTGAGATCCTTCAAAACATTGGAGTTTCCCCGAAGATAAGAGAGCAAATTTGGGCTCAGTAATTGAAGTTTTGACCTGAATGTTTGCTGCTGCTTATCTTTTAGTGATTTTTGCTTCCCAAAGATAACCTTATTAGGATAAGTGAGACTTATAGTACAAGGAAAGAGATGCAGTTATTACAAAATACTCTTCCAAGAAATGAGTTTAGTTGGCAAATACCACAGTTCTTCATGTCAGCTTTCTTCATGATTACTTCCTGGGCTTGTTATTTTTGTTTTGTTCCAACACAGGCATCATGTGTGATGAGAAAACACCAGGGAATTCAAGATAGGCAAGCAAGCAAAGGAAGGGCTCACAAGCCCAGCTGGGGAGACCGGGCGTGATGATGGGGCTGTGTGTGAATGATGGTGTCATAAGGACGTGACTTGCTTCTTGGGCCCTGTTCTGTGGGATTTTCTTAATTTATGTGAAATGCATCAGCTCACCTGGTCATCCATCTGTTGTGATATGTATGATAGACACTCTTACTGTGCTTGAGCAGCTGTCTTAGAAAGTTCATTTAATTTACAACCACCCAATTGATGACCCTATGTTTCAAGAGATCCCTGAGAAGAGATGTTTACTAATACAAGAGCACATAGCCATGAAGATTTGAGCTGGTCAGTGTGGGACAACCATGGGGATCTGATTTCATTGGTGCTTACTGCTTAAGCTTTTCAAAACAAGGTCTGGTTTCTGAGACGGGGAGTGAGTTTTAGACCTTGGGAAGATGGATGCAGAGAGACAGCGTCTTAGTCCATTTGTGCTGCTCTAACAAAGTATACCAAACTGGGTGGCTTATAAACAACAGAAATGTATTTCTCACAGTTCTGGAGGCTGGGAAGTCCAAGATCAAGATGCCGGCAGGCTGGGTGTCTGGGGAGGGCAGCTTTCTCAAGGAGGGTGCCATTGTGCTCTGTCCACACATGGTAGAAGGGGCAAACAAGCTTCCTTGGGCCTCTTTTATAAAGGCACTATTCTTATTATGAGGGCTCCTCCTTCATGACCTAATGACTTCCCAATGGCCCCACTTCCTAAAATCACTATGTTGGGGGTTAGGGTTTCAACATATGAATTTTGGGGAATACAAACATGGCAGGCAGGAAGCAAATATCTTGGCTCCCATTGTCTGAGCTAATGGGAAAGAGCATGGACTGTCCCTGCTCTCCTTTGGGGATCTGATGTTTCCGTGGCTCAGTAACCATGCCTGGGAAGGAAGAAGAGAGCAGATCAGTGTCCACATCTGATGTGGTGTTGGCTCCCATTGTCTGAGCTAATGGGAAAGAGCATGGACTGTCCCTGCTCTCCTTTGGGGATCTGATGTTTCCGTGGCTCAGTAACCATGCCTGGGAAGGAAGAAGAGAGCAGATCAGTGTCCACATCTGATGTGGTTGTGAGTGGTCAAGGATGGTATGAAGAGAGGAACCACCAGCCCTTACTCGTCTCTTCTCTATCTTCCTTGTCCCCAAACCTAGTCTTTTGTAAGGGCCTTTCTAATCAATCTAGTCATGTCTCACCCATTATCAACTTTTACTAAAGTTGAGGTTACCTGCCTACTTCAGCCTGGGCCATCAGGGAGCCCTGTTTATATAAGTTTCACAGGTCTAATGTCTAGTCTGCCTGCCCTGTAGATCTGAAACCTCAGCAGTCAGCAGTTCTGAAAGAATGATCCACACTATCAGACACATGTGAACCTATTCTGTGGCAGAAAGCCAATTTGTAAATTTACCATGTGGAAGGGATCTTTCCAATAAGCAATACATTGGCTATTCTCAATGCTCTTTTCAAGTATCGGTGTACAGAGAAGAGAGGACTTGTAGTCAGGATTAGTGGTAGTCACGTCAAAAATAAAGGATTAAGGCAAAGGACTTTAATCAGGCTTTGTGGGAACCTAAGACATCACCCCTATATTTCCGAAGTGCTCATCCTTTCCAGTGCCCAAATATCTGAGACTGTCAGACACAGGATTTCTCCTCCTGCAGTGACAGGGTTGCTGCCACTATTTCTTTTTCTTTACTGTTTACCTTTGATCTTAGACCTTTAGTCTGGGCTACTGCTTTAGACTGTGCACCTTATTCTGTCCAGAAAGACTTTCACACATGGTTTGTGTGCAGTGGAGCCATTTCTTAAAAATAAATTAGCAATATCTGATGACTTTTCAAGGACTTGGATGAATCAAACCTTCCCTCCTAGGTTTTCCCTTGGAGCAATGTTTTCTGCCTGGTTTAAGGATAAAGGAGATAACTCTCATGCTCTTGCCAAAGTACAAGATGGGCACTTACATAAAAATACTAGAAATCATCTTTTTCCACAAAAAAATAGTACAACCAAAATCATATCTTGGTAAGCCCTGGTGCGCGATGCTGTGGATGGAAACTGAAAGTGGCTCACGCCTGTGTCTTCTCACCCAGGCCAGTGAAAGGCGCGTTCACCTCGTCGTGTCCCGCCAGGTTCGACAGCAGAGCCCTGACATCTTTCAGGAAGCCGGCTGGAACAGCAATGGCAGCCGGTCCCCAGGACCAGGGGAGAGGAGCAACCGTCCCAAGGTAAGGCCCAATCAGGACGTGTCCACTGCTCCTGCAGGGAGCTATTTCTTGGGAAGGCTGCTTACTTTAACATTTCTAAGTATTATCTCTGGACTTTGTCACTTAAAGAAACACTCTTTTACTTGTAGAACTATAAGCCCAAAGTCCCATCTTCAAGACTTGGTGAGATAACAGGTGTCTCCCATCCAAGCAGGAGAGAGAAAGTGCAGGAGAGTTTTGAAACCTGATCTTGCAGACCTCAGATGGGGACCTAATTTTTAGTCTAAGCCAAATCGATGTCATGTTTTTACCAAGAGTCATTATGTTTAAGGACTGCTTTCCATTCACTTTGAAATGAAACAAGAGGTTTGCTTGGTTTCTGGTTTTTGAATTTCCCAGGCTGCCTGGAAGTTAAAATAATAATTCCCCTACTATTTTTAATATGTTTGTCTTTGCAGAAGAGCTCAGGAAGATAATTTAAACACTTGAATCTCATGTAACATTAGGGAGTGGTGGGGATTGGGGCAAACTAGAGAGCACATCCTGTCTTACAGCATTCAAATCCAGAAAAATTTTAAAACACTGTATATCAAGCAGAATGCATCTGTGGGTAGAATCTACTCTCCAGGCTACCAGTTGTTTGCAGCCTTTCTCTAAATGAGGTGACTCAGCCCAATTTGTATTTCTGTCTGTGGCTTCTATTAGAGGTAATGCCTTAACCTCTCCATTTGGATGGGTGTTTAAACAACATAAAACTTGGGGCCGGCCCGGTGGCGCACTCTCCAGTGCGCCGCTTGAGAGCGCAGCGGCGCTCCCGCCGAGGGTTCGGATCCCATGTGGAGACCGGTTCCCGCTCACTGGCTGAGCGCGGAGTGGGCACAACACCGAGGGTTGCGATCCCGTTGCCGGTCAATAAAAAAGACAAAAAGGAAAAAAAAAAAAAAAGACATAAAACTTGTTTAGTCTGAATTAAGTGTCCTGTAGCCTTGGCTTGACATTGTACAAAGGGTCTTACAAAATATTCATGGAAAATTTTCTATCATCTTTTAATTCCATTTTTCCATGAACTTTTTGGAGTATCCTTGTTTTGTGATGGTAGTGAGCTTCCATCAGTCATTTCTCCTGGGATCTGGTTTCATTACATCATTTGTAATTTTTAAAAAAATCTTGTAGGTAACTGGGTTTTTTTTTTGCAACAGAGAGTAGGGAATGCCCTTTTCCTTCCACCTCAAGCCATGTTTTGGTTTGGAATAACTTAAAATTGAGTTTTTGAGCAATGTATACAAAAACATTACTCAAAATTTTGATTTTGGAACATCTCTGCTTTATTCTCTGTTAATTACATTGACATTCTCCAGCCAGCCATGCCCCATAAATCTATAAATTCCATGTTTATTTACAATAAGCAACCTAGACAGACCCAGTACATTCTGCTGAAACATTTTATGGATAAGGACTCCCTGACGTCTTTTCACTAGTAAATACCATTAGCATGTTTAAATTAAACTGACAGTACTTATTAATGGAAAACTAGTTTATTAACTTAATTAACTAATTGATTAAAGTTTTTAAATAGCTAATTTTAGTTGAATTAACTATAATACATTATATTCTAATTCATGAAGTCACTGAGATGAGGCCTCCACTCGCACTGTGGCTTTAGCATGCCTTCCACATAGCCATCGTGAACCACAGAAGGAGCCAAGAAGGTCTGATCATATTTTTGCCACAACCCTCTGTCACGTGTCTGAATTCCTGGAAACATAGTTACAAATTAGCCTCGGAGAAAATTGTAATTTTCATTTTAATTTATATTCTCTCTGCCTTCTGAAATGTCCTCACAAAAAAAGTGGCATATGTGAAATAAAACTAATCTATCTATGGCTGTTTGATGGTTTACTTTTTTATGTTCCAACTAAAGTTTTGTTTGATTTAGGAAACGTCACTTTTTGAAAACAGGACCTTAAATGATTTAAAAGAACACTAAAGAAGGATTTGTGGGACAGAAAAGCTTTAGCCAATTGAAAAGTTAAGGAATGATAGGTACCAAATTTAAGTGTGTAGTCACCTCTGTGTAAGAGGAAAGGGATGTGACCAGAGAGAAGTCATGCACTTAAAGTTAAAGGGGGGACTTTAACTGTACACAGAACGTTTATTTCTGACATTGGGTACACAGTATGTGGGTAGGTTATTCTGTTATTCTTTACATTTTTTTTATATGTCTAAAATGTGTTCTTTTAAAAATCCAAAGCAAGTATTCTAAAACATAAATATTTTTTATAGCTTGAGTAATAAATACTCAGGTGCCATGATATTTTTCAATCAGTTTGAACTGTTTCATCGTAAGTTATATTTTTAAACATTAGGGAACATTCTGAGGTCCCCAAAGCAGGTAGGGAGGAGTGGGGAGAAAAGACAGAAAAGATCAGCTTTGTCATACTTAACTCTCCTCCTTCCCAGCCAAAGTTAGGCAACTCTGGGAGTAAAGGATTCATGGAGAGGCTTGGGTTTTTCCTTTTTTTTTTTTCTTTTTTTTCTAAAGATGACCGGTAAGGGGATCTTAACCCTTGACTTGGTGTTGTCAGCACCACGCTCTCCCAAGTGAGCCACGGGCCGGCCCGGGTTTTTCCATTGTTAACATGTCTCTGTTGGGGAAAGCAAATGGTCATAGGAGACACAGGACATATTAAGACATGTCTTATTTGTGGTATTCTGGTCACTTTTTGAGCTCCTCGGTACTCCACTAAACTTCTCTGCTTAGCACAGTCAAGGCTGTTTGGTAAGCACTGAGGAAATGTGAAAGAAGACTGTATAAAAAATGATTACTTTTATTAACTTAGAAAAAATTCATGATATTTGTGAATGACAAGAGTTTTTTGAGATGCTGCCTCACTACTATCAGAAATCAATGACTCTCTTGAGAAATTTTGGGTGCAGTCCACTTTGTATGCTTACGATTTCTTCAGCAGTCTCCAACCTCTTCTTTCTTCCATTTTTACTGTTCCCTTTCAAAATGCAAACTTTCGCTGAGTTAGCGTACAGAATTTGGGATAATGTAACGATTACAGGTGAGGCAAGGTGAGGGTTCTCTTTGTCTTTTTCTGTGCTACCAAAGACCAACATCATATTTATGCCATTTGCATCATTTATGCAACTTTGGTAGATTTTGCATATAGAAAACACAAACCCAGTTGTGAATATATGTGCCATGTTTTTCTGTCTGTGCCTTCAGCCCCTCCATCCTGCAGCTACTTGTCATGAGAAGGTGGTAAGTGTCCGAAAAGACCCCAGCGAATCTCTCGGCATGACCGTTGCAGGGGGAGCATCACATAGGGAATGGGATTTGCCTATCTATGTCATCAGTATTGAACCCGGAGGAATCATAAGCAGAGACGGAAGAATAAAAACAGGTAAAAAGTAAAGAGGCTTAAGGCACTGGGGTGGCAGAATATTAAGAGGAATTAGCAGCTTGCTGGGTTAGGTAACTATTTCCAGAATTAGCAAGAGAATATGAGGGTGACCTGGCCAGGACATCTGCCACACATTGACCATGATTTGTTTGAGTATAGTTGCTAGACTGGGCTTCACCCCTAAGTGTTCTAAGTGGTCTTTGCTGGATTGATCCAGTGATGAAGCGAATTCATGAATGGTTCCATTTTATGGATTAGATAGAAGTTTATGTGATTCAGTGAATATTTATTAAATGAAAGTACCATGCTGAGTACTTTCCCATTGGTGAAAAGTGTTTCACTACTTTAATCACATGTGTTTTGGTCTACTTTAAGCAAAAAAAGGTGATGTCAAATTTGCCTCTACAAATATGTATTCTTAATAATATTGTCAATTCATATGAAGAGGTAGCTCAGACAGATGAGTAGACATGCCACTTAAGGGTTCAGATTCAAGACATAAAATGTGAAGTTTCCAAGTACAGTTTTGTTCAGCCTAAGGCACAGCAGGGGGATGGCATATTAAGGGATTTAGTCAGCCAGCTGAAGGGTACTTATTATGGGGTCAGGAAAGACTCAAGGCCTTTCCCGTCTTTCTCCTCCTGTCCTTTTACTTCTGCTATGGTTATTCTGTATATAAAAGATGATATACAAGGAGGGCAGAAAAACAGGAGGGAGATAAATAGAAAATGGGGGTGGGGGAAGGTCTGAATTTAATTTCTCTTCCTTTTCTGCAAGCACCTGGGTGGAGAATGATGAGGCCAAATGAATTGACTTGTTAGTGAGAGAACATGAGCTAGAAATTATGTGTGAAAATAGTCCCGTAATGTAGTAGATGTTCAACCAATGGTAGCTATTATCACCTTTGCAATGAATAAAAATGTTACTCTTCTTTCCACCTCTTTAAGAGCACAGATCCAGGTCTGTTTTTCCCAACGGCCCTAGAATCCTCTGCCAGACACTCTCATGGGTAGTTTCTTATTCATTCGTTCAGTCCATATTTATTGGGTGCCTATGTACAACATGCCAGGCTCTGTGCAAGTGCTGGAGCTTTTTCAAGTCCTTCCCTTTGTGTTAAACACAGGAAACAAGTGAAAGGAGTAAAAGAGTAGGTTTTCTTTGATTAAATGGTGAATAAGTCTAAGTTATCTTCCTTCCTTTCTCCCTTCCTCCTTTCCTCTCTTCCTTCCTTCTTTTTTAAGGCAAGAGCCAAATACCAGTAGGCATACTTTAGAAAACCCCAAACAAGACATACCAGCACCTTGGAAGGCACACACTGTTCACCATTTGCTATAGGAGAACTCAATCTCACATCAGCACATACCACACACCTTATCCTCTTGGCATCTGCATCTCCAGTCAGTCCCTATCCCCTTGCACTGTAAGCAGACATCCCTGTTTGCACTCTCACTAAGGCTGGTTTCTGCTTCTCTGGCCATCAGGTGACATTTTGTTGAATGTGAATGGGATTGAACTAACAGAGGTCAGCCGGAGCGAGGCAGTTGCACTATTGAAAAGCACATCCTCCTCAGTGATACTCAAAGCTTTGGAAGTCAAAGAACACGAGCCCCAGGAAGACTGCAGCAGCCCAGCAGCCCTGGACTCCAACCACAACATGGCCCCACCTGGCGACTGGTCGCCTTCCTGGGTCATGTGGCTGGAATTACCACGGTAAGTCCCAGCATGACATCTCTGTGGGGGTGTGGGAGGAAACGATTACATTCCTGAAACCACTCTTTCACTCTCTTGGGCTGATTCATGGTACTAGCATCTTAATGAAACCCAGTCTTGGTCATGGGACTGTTTGAAATCATTCTGTTGTCCCATTTGTAACTGAAAATGTGTGCAAAAATCCTAGGGCAGGGAGAAAGGCTGAATGTGTAAAAACTGTCAGGCATTCATGCTGAGGAGTTCACAGGGCTGCCACGTACAGCTGTGTAGGTTGTTCATGCAGCAGGGAGCCCAGCTGACAGGCAAAGGGGCAGAACTCCAGCCTGTGTTTACAAATCCTGGAGCTGAGCTGCACCCACCCAGGGGAAGATCCACCTTTGCCTAATCTGTTAGTGGCAGCTCTGGGAACTTGCATGGAGGCTGACTCCCTTCTGTGGCTTTACCTCTGCAGCTTTTTGGTGATCTGGCTATACTTAAAGCGATGGAGCAGAACCCTTCGCTTCTGCCCAGATGTTTAAGCACCCGCTGGTTAGGGACATGTCTCAGATCATCTCTCCTTAGTGCCTACTCCTGAAAAGTTCTTGAATAAAACTTCAGGAAGCAGCTGTGTTGCTGTTTTGGAGCCTCAACAGTGAAGCATTTAATTGTCTCACACAGTCACCTCAGGGAAGGATTTCAGGTCAGCCTTAGTAAATGGCTGTATTCAGAAACTGAATATTCAAAGGACAGATAAATTAGTGTTTGCTCACCTGCATCAAAACATAAACTATTGGTCTTTAAAAGATTATCTTACTTTTTAATGGCTGAGTAGTATTCCATTTTGTATGTATACCACTATTTCCTTATCCAGTCATCCATTGATGGAATTCTACCATTTGCAACAATGTGGATGAGCGTGGAGAAAATTATTCTAAGTGAAACAACCCAGGTACAGAAAAAGAAATACTGCATGTTCTCACTCATAACCAGGAAACGAATCCATAAATAAACAAATGAACAATAAAGAGAGACAAAGAGAAAGAAAGAAAGAAAAAACAAGCACAGTAGTACGTTGAACTTTTAGAAAACTAGAGGTGGAAAAGGGGAGTGGAGGGGAGGAGGGAGCAGGGCTAATGAGGAATTGGTCAATGGACACGAAGAATGATTGTGTGTTGTAATGATGAATAAACTAACTATGCTGATCTAACCACCACACATTCTACACGATTACTGAAAACCAACATTGTACCCCACGTGTTTGTATAATAGATTATCTTTAAAAAAATTATGCTTCCCAAAATTTTTTTTAAAAAAGATTATCTTATTAATTATAAATGTGTGATTTAAATGTTAAATATTAGAGTTGCTAAAGATGATCTACTGGCATAGGATTAAATAAATGAAAGTGAGATATTTGGTTTTAGTACATTTTTCTTGAGGGTGGAGATAGGTCTGTCTCTTTCTATTTTTTTTAATTTTAAATGAGGCTTTTAAAAAAAAATCTCTGCTTCTAATACAAACTGACTTAGATTCCTTTTTGAGCCTCACTAGTTGAAAAATTATTTTTAAAATCTGTATATTTTTAAAAATCCTTAAACAATTGAAAACAGCATTGAAGCAGTTTAAAAACCTTGAAACATTTTAGAACTCAGCCTAAGTAGAAGAATGTGTTACTATAAATAAAATTTTATTTTAGAAATATCTTTCTGAAACTAGAATACTATTTAAATAAGTCATCTTTAATTTTTTGTTTGAAAGCTATTTTGTCATATAATCAAAATTCCTCATCATTCATTCATTTAAGAGAAGACAGTGTGAGATGCTTTTTACTCCAAATACAACCAAGCGAGTGGCTTTCTGTGCCTTTACCTTTTGTCATTTGGCCTTGGGCACGGCACTTCTTTGCTCTTGCTAGGAGTATAGCCTGAATTGTGCTCATTTCTCTAAAAGGAGAGCATAAAGGAAGTGTTGTGATATGATGCCAGCATAGGCAACACTGATTTTCAGAACCCTGGCGATTCTTAGTAATATAATAAACACAGTACAAAATTCAGAGGGTACTGCAGAGTATATATAGAGAGAAAAGGAAGCCTCCCTCCCTCCCCTTTCCCCTCAGATCTGCTCAGCAGCGGAGATCATTGTTACCAATTTCATGTGTATTTTTCCAAGGAGAGTTTATGTCAGAGATTGGCAGAGTTTTTCTGAAAAGGTCCGACAGTTTAGACTTGGAGGGCCATATAGTCTCTGTTGCACCTCCTCGATTCTGCTGTTGTAGCATAACAGCAGCCACAGTCAGTGTATGAATGAACAGGCATGATGTGTTCCAATGAAATTGTATTTACAACAACAGGTGGTGGGCTGGGCTCTAGGTTGCTGACCCCTGGCCTATGTGTACATATACACACACGTACAAACAGTGGTAGCTACACACTCTTAGGTACCAGGCTCTTTTTAAAAATAAAATCTAAGAATCCATCTGGGGTATCATGATAGTCATTTCAGCATTGTAGTGTCCACTGCCAATAGGAACTAGATAAATATTATGGTATGCCCCTACAGCCAGGTGACAGGGTGCCCGGATATCAAGTTATCATGCCACGCTTTGTCCTTTAGGACTTTGTCGGCATCACATCACTGTTGTCTAGCACTGAAGGTGTGGAGAAGTGTGAGGCGCTTGATTGATTCTTTCCCTCCATACACAGGGTGGTCTTTTCGCCTGTTGTTCAAAATGACCATTATGTTATTTTGGTTCTTCTTTTCAGAGACTCCAGATATGTGTGTATTTGATAACTTTTCTCTTTCATATCTTTCATTTTCTCTTGAATCCTTTCAACTCTGTTTATTTCCATTGTGTTTGTTTGGTTTTGTTATTTTTTTCTGATAGCATAAATTGATCCATTCTGTTTTCATGGCTTATTTCCATCTGTCTGTCAATTCCTTACTGTGTTTTCAGTAGTATGAGAGGTATTCAAAAAGTTCAGGGAAAGTTTTGTATTATCTTTTAATTTCATTTTTCCACGGAATTTTGAAGTACCCTTGTATATCTTTTCCTTTGTAGCCACCTTGATTTCTGTGGTGTTTTTATTTTTTTCTTTCTTCTGTTCTGTTAGCTCGTCTCTTGTCTCAACCAAATCTTCCTTGAAATCTTATCTCTGCAGCGAACTCTTGTTTATAGGGCACTTGCTGTAGAAGTATTTTGAATTCATGGTAATGTCAAGGGTTATAAATTTGATTTTCTATAGCAGCATTTTATTTGTGTGGCAGCATATTTCTGGTGAGTGGTTTTTGTCTGTTACTGTTTTTCTGATATTTTCCCCTTCCCCCTTTCTGCTGATTCTTTTTAAATCTTTGAGTGAGGTAAATTTTTCCAAGCAGGTATTTACTGGAGGTTCACAGTATGTGAAAGAACAAGGGCCATATTCCAGATAGTAGAAATTTCTCTTTATAGGACACGGATATGTGTGTGTTTCTTTACTTCTCCCAAACCAACTAAAATCAGCCTTGCGGGGCCTTCCCAGTGCACAGTCTGTGTCCTCCACCCTGTCACCCTGGCAGACTGCACCCTGTACGTATGGGTATCTATTAGGGTTCTCATTGCTTCACACATGCCTTTCTTCTCTGCCAAACTGGGCCCAGGGAAGCTCTGCTAACAGCCAGCTTGCTTATTTCTGGTGTTCCTTTGTGGAATGAGTATTTTACCCGTTCAAGTGGGCTGTTCATTACGAACCCAAGGCTCTACTGGCTTGGTCTGCACTTGCCAGCTATGCATATCCTTTCTTCCATTTTCCCTTTTTGACTGCCTTTGGCAGCTCTCTCTTATATATGGTGACTCTTCATTTTGTTTAAGGTGAAGTTTGCATTTTTGTTTCCAAGTTTCCTAGTTGTTTTTATAGTAATTTTTAAAAGCAGAAGGGGAAGCACGGTTTTCACTCTGCCATTTCGAAACTAGAAGTATGTCCACCCTGCTGTTTTTCAGAAGTCCTTAATAGCTCAATCATGCTCCCATATTAGGCCTTCAGATAGTCTCAGGATGTGAGCCCCCAGCTGTAACACTGCTTCAATTTTTCATGGTGGGGTGTTCCATTCACATCTCTGATCTTGACGGCTCAGAGCCCCAAGGACCCCAGTTTGATTGTTGAAATACCATTGGCTTAAATGCCTCTAGCCATTTGGCATGAATGATGTACTAGGAATTTCAGGCCATTCATCATACCTCAACAAAAGTCATATTACCTGAATTGCTAGAGATTTAGGCTGCAAATAGATTTTTTAAAAAATTCACAGAAATTTTTCTCCAAGTTCCAAATCTACTTGGTCAAGTATTTTCCCCTTTCGCTTAACAGATTTTAAGGAAACCTATTTGCCCCATTGTGTGATCCAGCCAGTTACCTAACATTCTCTACCCATGAAGAAAAATGATATAACACGTCAGTAGGTCTAGAAACAGGAAAACCATTGTAATCATGTCCTCAGGGGCAGTACAACACACAGAAAGAATATATACAAAGAGGGCATCATTGGTATGCGGAGCTGAGGATGCCTGTTTTGAACCAGTGAGTGTCAGACACAAGCAGTGATGGACGGAGTAGAAATAGGTTATAAAGGGCAAGGCAAATGTGCATTACCTGTAGTACACTTATCAATAGTGCATTGTGTGCCAGGAGTCACCCATGGGTAGCAGCTCTAGACCCTGGCTCTCAGCTTTACAAATGATCGGATGTCATTTAATTGGAGGTGATACAGAAAATGCTGAAGACATTCTGCTTTATTCTTTGTTGGCTCCCAGGCCCCACATTCCACATCTGGAAGTCTTTCAAAACATGCTCTCATCTGGACCAGTATGGTAGTAATACACATCAACTCATTTCTGTTTCTGCCTAAGAATTTAACCCTTTGCTCTCCTGAAACTCTGAGAACATTTTGATAAGGATTGTCTATACTGACTAGCAAGAAAGCAGAGGTCATGAATTTTTTTTTTAAATCAAGACACTTTCACATTTTAAATGTAAGACAGGGCCACT